ACACACACACACACACACACACACACACACACACACACACACACACACATCACACACACACACACACACACACACACACACACACACACACACAAACACACACACACACACACAGCGAACCTTGAACTTTGGGATCTTGGCGGATGAGTGTTTGCGGAGGAACGAGAGGAAGCCGTCCACGTCGCGGTCGCCATCAAAGGGGATGGGATTGCTCTTGTCGCCCCGCGGTGCAAAGTAGATGGTCGGATACCTTGGGGCAGCAAGCAGGCGGCATGAGCCCAAGCGCAACGACAAAGCCGCGCGCGCACACAGACAGACAGACACAGACACAGACACAGACAGACACACTGACGCACAAACAGACACACACAGACACAGACACACACACACAGACACAGACACACACACACACACACATACACAGACGCACAAACACAACCACACGCGCTCGCGAACGCAACACTGCATGCTGTCATACCCGGTGGCCTTGTATGGCGGTGGAACGTCGTTTGTTGTCGCGTCCATGGCAGCGATGACAACATCGTCGACTTTGCTCAACTTCTTCGCCAGCTTCTTGTAGACGGGCTTCAGCTGCTTGCAGTGGCCGCACCATGGCGCGAAGAACTCTGTTTTGTGTGCGTTCGTGTACGTGTAGGGTGCAAGAAAGGGATGGGCGTGGGGGTGATGAAGATGAAAGGAAAACGCGGGGCGGACGAAGACGCACCGATCGCATGTAGCACACACACACACACACACGCACACACACATACACACACACACACGCACACGCACACACACACACACACACACACACACACACGTATGCATGCACACACACGCACACCTTGATCCAGGCGTTGAGTTCTGTTGCGTCGTCGCCAACATCGCGAGCAATGGAGGGGTTCTCCAGCTTCGAGTGGAACTTGGTCGGCTGGAACACAACGACCTGCAGTTGCACAGACAGATAGACAGACAGATACACACACATGAGTGAGTGAGCCCGAATGAAACCCAAGACTTGGCACGACAGCGTGGTGGTGGAGTTCGTGGCACCAGTCTCTCACCTTCTCTGCAGACTGGACATTGTATGCTTTGCGAATGGCATCAGACGTGGCATACGCATACCTGCGAACACAACAGGTTGGTGTGCGTGTGTGCGTGCATGTATGCGTGTGTGCGTGCATGTGTGCGTGTGTGAGTGTGAGTGTGAGCAAGTGCAGAAGATTACACAAGTAACAGCAGTGTAACGCAGCAATATACACGCATGAGAGCACAAGTAGCGTTGGTCTAACTTGAACAGCTTTCGGTCGATGCTGGCGGCATCCTGGAAGACTTCAAGGCCCGGCGAGTCATCACTGCAGTTGAAATAGAGCGGAGACGGAGGCCGGGTGAAACACAGACGTGAGCAGCTTGTGAAGGGAGGCGAGCGCATTGACATAAAACCAACCACACACAGACACAGACACAGACACACAGACACACACATACACACAGGCACAGACACACACACACACCCACACACACACCCACACCCACACACACACACACACACACACACACACACACACACACACACACACACACACACACACACACACACACACACACACACACACACACACACACACACACACGTGCAAGCACCGAAGAAACAACACGCCACCCCCACTTTACCTGTCGAAGAAGCCGATGACAACAGGAGCGTCACCATCGATGATGGAGTCGATGTCAAATACGGTCTCCAGCTTGGATGCCGGCGGCTGCGCAAGTTCGGTTGTGGGATTTATTCATAAATACCCGGTATCACTTGGTGGCGGGCGCAGTGAACTTTGGAAGGATTTCCTCGTAAGATTCCTGTGATGTCGTCGGGTGCGTGCGTCGTATGCGTAGAAATGAGTT